GGACTCGACTTAGGTCCCCAAATGCACCAGTTGTCCCCAAAGGTAGGATTATTGTCTTAAAATTGCCCTCAAATGTTACCAGGAAACCACCCCCCCACCCCCACCACTCAAGCCATTATGTAACTCTGATACTTGAATATAAAAAGTATTTTACCCCCTTGGATGTTTTTACTTTATTACTCTTGTGAATCAGTCATGGTCAATATAAATTGGTCTTTTTGACTGAAAGGCCACCAAGACACCTGCGAGTCTGAAGGAGTTACAAGCTTCAGTAGGTGTGATGATAGACTGAGATACAACTGTTACCTGGGTTTTTCACCAGACTGAGATTTATGGGAGAGTGGCAAAAAGAAAGTTATCATTGAGGGAAACTAAAGCTCAACTTTAGTTTGCAAACACTGAATCTGAGTGGAACAATCCTTCGAATAAAACCAGTGGCAAGTCAGGAAACTGCAAATCATCTTGGTCTTTATTTCCTTGGGGATATTTAGGACTTTAAAAATCTTTTTGAATACATCCTCTGACTTATACTTTTCAATAATATTTTCTAGGAATTGAATTAGGACAAACACTTTAAATAATGTGAATATTTATGCAAACACCTATTATACATTACATGTTTTTATTCATTTGGCACAACTTTGTAGACATTTATTTAAGCAGATACAGATACACAATTAAATTATGTTGTTTTTCACTATTTTTCTCAAAGGGTTTGAGCAGGTCCAGATGCTTCCTGTCAACCTCTGAGTAAATCAACTAGAGACATGATAAATGGGTCTTTGATCTCAAGGAGGAGTTTGTTTCATGGAGCCGTTACATTTTGAATGAGTTACGTCATCACGTAGGAAAACACCTGATGATGTCAGCACACATAAAAAAATGTGTTTTGACAAGCAGAACTCCCCTGCCCCTTTCCCCCTGAGCTGCTGTACTCCACTGCTCTGCCTGTTTTCCTAAAGATATTACCAGGAGTAAAAATAAAACAGTTCTTTAATGCCCATTGAAAATTATCGGATCGTTCAAGAATGTCACGTCTAAAATCAAATAAAACTTCATCACATACACAATATACTGTACAGTCAAGCCCCCTCTTATCTAACTGCCTCTGTTAGAGTAAATAAAACAATAATACTCAGTCCGACCCGTTGTCTTTAGTTATTCCTTCTATAAAAACAACCCTAAAAACAGTATAAAATTCAGGCCCAGGCCTCACTTGTAAAAGAGATCTGAGATCTCAATGGGACTTGCCTGCACTGAAAAAAATGATTTTTGGGTGTAGTAACATTTATTTAATTATTCTTGTAAGTTTTACAAAACTATATATATCACAATTTCTAAACTACTAGAATTTACTAAATAAACAATATGCATGATAATATGTAGAAATGTTACTGTACTAACAAGTAAATGCTAATATTATTTTACCAGCAATATTTAAGTGCTTTTTCTGGACAGCACATAAACATGAATATATTAAAGGAGACCAATTATGTGTCCTAGAAATTTTTATGGTATGTCTGTGGGCTATCCAGACCRTGTTCATTCAATTTAATGCACAAAATAATTCTCAGATAATAAAATTTCCCATTTTCTAGTTCTGCCTGCTCTGACTTCTGTTCAGAAGAGCTGTTTATGTTAATGAGCTCTGTTGGTAACGCGCTCCAAAAAGCTGTTGACATTAACTCCGCCCTCCAAAGCCAGCATTTACGTTAGCATGGCTAATAATAGCAGAACTCTTTGTGTGTTCATTATTTGTTAACTTGTGTTAAACCATTCAGCAGAAGTAACCATAAGTGAGAGTGGTAGGCCTAGTCATTAATAAGACCTGTGAGTTTCACTTTGTCTGTGTTGTTCATGAAGAATAATCCAATAAAGGTTCTTCAAAACTGCCACCTGGTGGTGAAGTCTTGAACTACAACATGAGCTACACCTCTCTCTCTCTGTAGCTGTGTTATGAGGATTTTTCTAGTAAATCTTACAGGTCTTACCATTTTTACAGTGAATGGTAAATAAAATATTTTTGGACAGTCCTGCTTTATTATACTGGAGCTCTCAAGGCTTTTAGAACTGATTCAATATAAAAACATTTTGAAATTTAAGGTCAAAAGTTTTTTACTTAGTGGTCTTCAATATGAAAACCTTAATCCATTTATCACAGTACCTGACTGGACATCAGGCTGCCCTAGCAGCAAACTATCTAACAATGTTCTAAACTACGAGAGTCAATTTTTGTGTATGCATGTATTAATTTACTATGTGTATACATGCTATATAACTACTAAATAGACCATATATTTAAGAAAGGCCATTTATTGATGTCAACTAATTCACAACAGCAATAAAAATGTCTGTGGGTTGGAGGAGTATACTTTCTTAAGGCACAAAACTTTTTTATTCTTGCTGTTGTCAGAACACAAAGTCCAGCTTCTGAGTGACATGACTGAAAAGGTAATTTGAGATAATTACTGAGAAAAAGATGCAGACAAAAGAGAAACACAGTTTCTCTGCTTGTCATGAGACTCAAATATGGATCATTTGTGTTTTAAACTGCACAATTGCAGTATAAGTGCACTTTGTGAAAAGCTCAGTGGCAACAACAATTATCCTTTTTGTTCTGCTTTTTCTACAGGTTCAAGATTTGATCTGCACATAGGAAAAGGTAAAAAAAAAGAAATAAATACCCAAACACATTTTCAGATCCCATCCAAATCTGTCTCTGCTGTCTACTTTCCTGCTCATGGAACGAGGATGAGAATGATTAGCAGGCATTACCCTGTATCTGTAGGCTTGTGTGGATGGATTTAATGGCTTTATTGGGGAGATTTGGGAACCATTTCATCGTTTTTATCACACTCTCACGCATATCCACACACACGGTTGGCGCAGCAGGCGTCCACGCCCCTAATCACAGYGAACAGAAAATGTGGATTTGTAGCATGTTATGCTTCTGCACACCATTACTGCTTCACATGCTATTTAGCTGCTTTATAGAGAAAAATGTCTTCTTTTGAGGTCAATGCTGTTTGGAATCACCCAATAGACTCTAATAAATACACCAATATTGTAATTTTATCTTACGATAAACCTGTTGTAGGTCTGATTGTTTGCTCATGGTGATGACGTTGGGTCGACAACTTTTTTACGTCTATTTCTGGCAGCTGTAGAGGTTTAATGTTTGTTGCCGTCCCTCCATGGATCCCAGCGTATTTTAGTCCAGAATAATCCCCACCATCTGCTGTCTCTTCCACTGCGTTTTAACACGCAGTGTCTTTTCAGCTATCTGTCACTTCAGTTTATTTCTGAATGAATTCCCTTTTTTCCCCCAAATATTTCCAATGATCTCTCTCTCTCTCTCTCTCTCTCTCTCTCTCTCTCTCTCTCTCTCTCTCTCTCTCTCTCTCTAAATTTTTTTACTGTGATTCCTCTCTTCGTAACCCATTCAAGCTTTCATTTTCTACTGCGGTTTGACTCCTCAATCCTAATCTCACTGCCTCTTCTCTCTCATTAATTTTCTTGACTTCCATCCTCTTTGCCTTGATCTCCTCCTCATGTTTTATTTTAGACTTGGACTTTTATCTTCCTAAATCTCAATATATCCCACGAACTGCTCCTTCAATTATTGTGTTTTCTGTAGCTCGGTGGTCAATTATTTCATCTTGTAATCCTGAGCCCAGGTTGCTTCAGGAAGGGCATCTAACAGAAAGCAATCGCCACACATCCTGCAAAGGGGGAAAGCAGCTGCTGTACTACCAGAAAACCTTTCATCTAGTCAGAAAACAGCCCACTAACAGCCTCCTCACGCTTACCTGAAACTTGCTGAAGTCATTTCTGGGTAACTACCCCCAGACTGTGAAACTGGGCCCACCTCTTCTCCTCATATTCACACTCAACACAAGAGTGTGTGCTGACCTCCTTACTGTACTCCCCTCAGACTGCAGTCCAGGTCCATCATCACCTTCAATTTATCTTTAATACTGTGGTGACTGAGATCCTGAAACTAATACAGTGTGGATCAGTCTTACTGTAAAATCACTTAAGATAAAGGGCACCAATCCCCACTCACCATTCACTTCACTAGTGACCATGTGGTAAAGGTCCAAGGCTTCAGGCTCATTAAACACCTTCATGTCTTACAGAATCATAGTTTTGGTTTTTAGGAAACTTCAGCAAAAAACGACAATACGCAAGAATTTTTGCTAAAAATAACCCGAGCACAAAGCTGCTGATGAAGTTCTACTGGTCCTCCGCTGAGAGAATAATGCTTGACTTGGTCCCAGTGTGGAAGGAGCAGCTGCACTGGAGAGCAGGGAAGGAGGAAGCTTCAGAGCAGCATCAGATTGCACAGAGGATCGGCGGCCGCCCTCGACCCTCTGAAGGTCTCCGACGACTCCTGCGGCCTCAGCAGCACACTAAACATCCAGGAGGAAACCTCATACCTCTTTGACCTGTTGCCCTGCGGCAACACACTGAAGCTCCATTAAATCAAAATAAACTCATAATTCCCCCCCAGCCATAATAACACCAACATGTGCTGATCTCTCACATCACATACATGTACGCATAGAACAAGAATAGTACTTATTACACTTGTTCATTTGACCAAATACTTCATTGTTATAAAGCAGTTATCTTTTGTTAAAGGGGCAATATCATATAAAATCAACTTTTTTGAGTTTTATATCATGTTAKAATGCTATACTCTCATAAAAACATGCCCAAAGTCTTGCTTTGACTCAGTCATGCATGTTTAAGAAATCCTACAGCGTTTTTAGAAAGCCATGTTGAGGAGCAAAACGACAGGTGGGGACCAGAAA